TGATCTCGCCTCTGCACCTAGACAGCTCCAACAACAAAGTCACTGGCGTCGCACATCAGCTCGAACGGTAAGGTCCAGGTAGGAGTTACCATGATAGGAGCATTAGTGAGCTTCTCCTTCATGGTCGTGAATGTCGCTGTGCACGCACAAGTGAACTGGAGGGGGGCATCCTTCTCAAGGAGCTTCGTTATGAACCGCCTATAGAACCCTGCATGGCCCAAAAAACTCCGGATCCCCTTAATAGATATGGGAGGAGGCAGCTTGCTGATTGTCTCGATCTTGGCTCTATCCACCTCTATTCCCATCTTGAGATCTTATGACGCAGAACTATGCCTTCGCGAACCATGAAGTGGCACTTCTACCAACTCAGTGCCAGGTTCGTCTCCTCACACCTTTTCAGGACGAGTTGCAGATTAAGGAGACATTGAGAGAATGAGTCTCCATAAACCGAGAAATTGTCCATGAACACCTCCATGATTTCTCTGACTAGACGGTCGAAGATGGCGAGTATACAACGCTGAAATGTGGCTGGGGCATTGCAAAACCCGAATGGGATTCTCCGGTAAGCTAATGTGCCGAAAGGGCAGGTGAAGGTGGTCTTCGCATGGTCTTCCTATGCTACGTGAATCTGAAAATACCCGGACATCCCATCCAGGAAGCAGTAGAAATCGTGCCCCGCCAGCCTCTCCAGCATCTGGTCAATGAATGGCAGCGAGAAGTGATCCTTCTAGGTGGCGTCGTTGAGGCAACAATAGTCGATGTAGACCCGGTACCCGGTTACCGTGCTCATTGGGATGAGCTCATTCTTCTCATTGGGTACCACGGTCATCCCACCCTTTTTAGGCACCACCTGAGTGGGACTAATCCACTCGCTGTCAGAAATGACGAAGATGATTCCCGCGTCCATCAGCTTAACAATTTATGCTCGAACCACAGCCTCCAGGTTCGGTGTCAATCTCCGCTGGGGCTGTCTCATCGGTCGAATCTCATCCTATAGCAATATCCGGTGGGAACAGAAGGAAGGGTTGATCCCCCGGATATCGGTGATCTTCCATGCCAGAGCTCGCTCGTACTGCTTCAACAGGGCCACCAGTCTGGCCTTCTGCTCGGGTGTGAGAGTCGGGCTGATGATGACTGGAAGCTTGTTTCCCTCCCGGAGAAATGCATACTCCAAGTGAGGAGGGAGGGGCTTCAGCTCCAGTTCTGGTGGCTCCTCCAGAGAGGTGGTGATGCGAGTCGAGGATGAGATCGGTTTGAATAGTTTATCAACCTCCGGGAACTCGCCACTCTCTAGCGTGGCCAGCTGCTCCTCCAGCTGCAACTCCTGCGATGCCTGATCACCTAGCAAAGTACAACGCTCAAGGGCATCGTTAGTACCCGCACTCGCGATGGCGAGTGCGGTCTCAAAATCAACAAACATGTCACAGTAATCCAAGTCATCATGCAAATGGGAATGCTTCGCATTGTCAGACACAGAAAATGTAGCTTGTTCATCCTCAGCCTGCAAGATTAACTTGCCACTATGCACATCAATCAGAGCCTTGGCGGTGGCGAGAAATGGTCTACCCAAAATCAAAGGCACATCCACATCCTCTTTTATATCCATAATAACAAAACCAATAGGATATGTGAATGCACCCACGTGAACAAGAAAGTCCTCTATGATACCCCATAGGATGCACAATCGAGCGATCAGCTAACTGAATACTCATCCTAGTGGTTCTAGGTTCACCTAGGCCTAGCTTTTTCGACAGTTTATAAGGCATGACATTAATGCTATTGCCTAGGTCCTCAAAGGACTTTCCTACATGCATGCTACCATTAATAAGAGGGATGGTAAAACTCCCTGAGTCTTTGCACTTTTCGGGCAGATTGTTCTGCACGATGGCAGAACACTCCTCACTCAACATCATTTTCGAGAGATCCCCAAGTTTCTTTTTGTTGGTGAGGAGATCCTTCATGAATTTTGCGTACTTGGGCATCTTCGACAGTGCCTCCACGAACGGCATGTTGATGTTGACCTGCTTCAACATTGCATAAATTTGGCAAACTCAGTCTCCAGCTTGTCTTTGTGCATAAGAGTGGGGAAGGAAAACTGGGGAACATGCTCTTTAACCACTAGTTGTGGCTTGGGAGCATGTGCTTCTTTCTCGATCCCCACGTCTTCATTGTCAGCTGGAAGTGCTGAAGCAGGTGTTGGTTCCTCCAGCCCGGTCAGAGCAGGTACAACAGATGTCATCTTGCCACTTCTAGTAGTGATGGCATCCAACTGCTGGTGAGGCTCGCTAGGAGTAAGGATGGTGGTGGCAAGCAGAGTTTCCGGTGCCCTGGTACTGTTTTGGCGAGCTATTCCTCCAATCTGATTCTGGAGATATTGTAGTATGGCACCCTAGTTCATCTGGCCTGCCTCCAGTGAGGTAATGCACTGGTCCAACCTGGAAAAATTTGTTGTGTTGGAGCTCACGAAGGCCTGAACCATGTTTTCCAACTTTGACATCTGGGATCCTGTGCTGGAGCTGCTGCCGGCTGGAAAAACTGTCGCTGCTGCTGCTACTGGAATGGTTGCCCCTGTCTACCCAACAAGGGTCATAATACAGGATCAGGTATTTAAGCGCCATGGTCGGGTCCCCTTCTGCTCTCCTGTCCTCCAAAATAGCTTTACCCGGTCGGGTATTTCAGTGCCTGACCGGGTATTTTTGCCTTCCAGCTCCTCTAGCTTCAACTCGCCACTTTTTTACCCGAAACTCGCTTCCACGCCTCCATGTCCATGCCAAGTCCTGAAATATGACATAAACGAACAACCTAGCGTGCAATCGGCTTAAAACAAGAGAATGGACTCTCAAACGGTTCAAGAATGGTGGTCAAAACATGTAACGGTTACCGATTTGCCAGTGCAGCTCTTGCTGGAGCAAGTGGCGACCATACAAGATACTCTGCCAGCCCCATGAAGGACGTGAATGCATCGCAGCCATGAGGAAGGACCCTTTTGGAAAGTACTTGCCTTCATAGACTTGGGCCAGTAGGGATTGAGGTTCATTAAGACCTTATTAAAATTGAATGCGTCGCCACTCAATTTTGGCCAAAATGACCTGATTAAAATGCTCTAAGCGTAAAAAATCCATCCCCATCATGCTTGCTCTGGCACATATTTCACCAAGACATCCAACGATGCGGGACTGGCTCCCCTCAACCCCCACCAAAATCTCGCCGCATTGAATTCATGTTGGGTTTCTGCACTGCCACTAGTTTTCCAACCAGCCCCAGCAAGTTGACTGTTTTAACCAACACGAAATCATTATCATCTTCCTCCACCACCAAAGCATCACCATCGTCCTCAATATTTATGTCCATGATTTGTTTTTCTGGCCCCTTAGCATGTATAGAATCTTTCTCTTCATCAGGGTTCACTATCGTGTCAATATATCATTGTTATTGCTTTCTCGTTCTCTATTGTTGTTTCAAGCTCTTCACGATCTTCGCCGCTCATCTTTGTACAAGTACTGTAAGATAACGAAAGACAAATATGAAAAAACTAATGACTCACTCACTCTAATCGTGTGAGGAAGATTGGGGTTTCAATACCTTTTGCGAGACCCCAGAAACAGGTACCTTAATCCTTGTACCAGTACTGTAAGATAACGAAAGGCAAATATGAAAAAACTAATGACTCACTCACTCTAATCGTGTGAGGAAGATTGGGGTTTCAATACCTTTTGCGAGACCCCAGAAACAGGTGCCTTAATCCTTGTACCAGTACTGTAAGATAACGAAAGACAAATATGAAAAAACTTATTACTCACTCACTCTAATCGTGTGAGGAAGATTGGGGTTTCAATACCTTTTGCGAGACCCCAGAAACAGGTACCTTAATCCTGAAAAACTCTCTCTCTCTCTCTCTCTCTCAATCCCTTGATGTAGCAGTCCGAAAAAGGATTTCACACAGCTAGGATAACGTCTATAACTTTGAACAATACCAAAGGATTATAGATTCACTTGGCTGATGAAACCAAACCCGAGCTATTGAAAAAATTCCATAGTTTGAATTGGAAAGTCATCAATATCAATTTAGAGCAATTAACCCACAGGGTTTGATTCCCTTTAGATGCAAATTGTTTTTCTCTGTTAGACCTTTCTGGTTTCAATGGCCTACTGTGATTCCTTACCATTCCAGTTTTCATTAACAAGAAAATTACACAGTTTGATTTGGAAAGTTATCAATATCAATTTAGAGCAAATTAACTCCATCAATTTTATATATAGCTTTAGATAAAGAAGAATTTTCATAGTTTTTTCCACTTATAATTTTCATTTGACTGGGAAGATTGACATATATTCATTTTCTTACTTATGAAAAAATGCTACACAATAGTGTAAACTGTAATTAGTATTACTTATATTTTTTCTATTCATATTGAACCTAATGAAATTTTTAGTTTAATTCTATTTGTAGTGACTTTCGTCTTGCAAAGAATGTTGTGTTTGATTATAAATTATCTTTTTTCCAAAATAAACATTATTTTAAATTATCTCAAAGAAAGTTTATGCTATTATCATAATATAAAAGGATACTTGATTGAATATTTAATTTATTATTAATTTTATCCTTTTTGTGATTATATGTTAAGAAAAACTCCAACCCCCGATCGTCAAATGCTGACTTCGCCCCTTCTCTCCTCCACCAATTTTTAATAATGACCAACATGTCCCTCCTTTATAAATATTCATTAATTGTGGTCAATACTTTGAAATAAAAATAATAAATCATGAAAATGAAACGTTTCTATTGACTAGTGTTAACACTATACTAACAAATTGCGTGTTAGCACCCTTGCCAATCCGGATGTGGGTGACATCCCGGGGTTTCACGCTAAGGTTTTCACGTAGTGGTTGCTTGAGAATGAGAAACAGCCTTCCGTTTACTATACATACAGAAGATTGCACTTCACTGGGAAAAGAATATACAGCTCGCAAATGGCAATTTAAGTGTACGTGATCACTCATCAATCAAACGTCGCCCAATTAGAAGGAATAGTAGTAGTAGTTGTTGTGATCCGACTGCAGTTCTGTTTGTCCTTGTCTTGATCATGACGAAGTATGTTGAGTAAATCTGCTGTACTACTACTTGCATTATTGTTACTCATGTTTACCGTTGTGTCACGCTGCACTTTCGGGATCACGTCACTCTTCATATCCATCGACGCCTACAGAAATAGATTGCACCCATTGATATATGTTGATGATGATGAAATCATGTATGTCTTAATTAACAACAAAGGATATATACGTGTTTAGTGACGGAAGATAGATTAATTACCGCACGAGGTTTTACTGCAGGGGCGTGGTCAGTCTCAACCGTGTACTTGGTGAAAGTGACTGCGTCAAGAGAATGTCTCCTTGGTAGCTTTGGCACAGAGTTTTTACTTGGAGTAGTTTCTCCCCTCTTCTCGGCCGGTTTCAGGGTCAAGTCATCTGCTAAGGTTCGACCCAAGGCTTGAGTAGTTGGTTGGGGCAGTTTCTTTGAAGCCCACTTCCTCTGCACGTACCTTCCAAATTCCCCCATCATCATCAGATTTGGTAAAAACAATGTTGCATAAAATACACTCTTGTATACGTACTTGTCATGGATAAATTTCTCAATCCCACTTTTGTCATAGTACCGTGGTAATTCTGCTTCCCAATACTTGTTGGCTCTCTCATTTCCTACATCTGGTTAGAAAATAATAATAAAATAATAATAAAGAAAAGGGGGTGAAAATTTTCTACTTTGACATGACCATTGACATGCATGATGTCAGAGATTTGAAATCGTAAGTTTTGATCAACTCGTTAGGATATTGGTCGCTCAAGTAAGCATGGATGTCAACAAAAATGTTACTAGCTACTTGGCACCACTTTCCACAAATCAAATTGAAGTTGTACTATGGCTGAGTATATTTCAACAAACCCAATTCAAATCGTCTTCTCTACTAAACAGTTAATGTAACGATCGAGATAAATATTATATTAGAAACGAGAGTAAAAATTGAGAAGATGCCATTATAACAGCATTTTTTTTTTTTACGAGACAACTCATGATCATGTTTCAATGTAGTACTAACAACATGATTCTGAAGTCAAACAAGAAGAGGGAATGAAATAGGTTGCTAGCTAGAGAAGTTCTCACATTGCATAAGAGCAACATGCTCCGGCAACCATGTGTCCAACGTTATTGATCTCACCTGTTCTTGCAGCAGGTAACCATTATACATATTCAGAAACTTAATTAGTTATGTTATTCATGTTCTATTTTCTCAACAGGCAGTGCCGATATATACGTATAAAACCGTAGAGGAGCTAGCAAATCAAATCAATTACCTGTGAAATATGAACCCCAAGACTCCGATGAATTCCTGAGCATTGCATGCATATAAATATTCCCAGGTTCACACTTGCCCATCTTGGTGCTCTGAAATTATATATTATATATGTAACGGGTTTATTTAGTCATCATCATTATTATCAGGAAGATGGATTCATAAAGAAAAATTGTATATTAGACCATATAATTGTGAAAAGAAAATTAAAAAACATCACAAATGTTATACATATGGTGGATTTTGAAGAATAATTACTTGTTATGACAATCAGCACATTGTTTATTATGTGGTAGTTTGACAAGGCCTTCTAATACCTGCATAATAAGCAAGACAGTGGATAATTCCTGTACAGTTATGTGAAAAGATTGCCATTATTGCAACTAATTACCCTTTAACTTCAAATTGATTAATTTGGAATCAAGCAATTAATATCACAATGATACAGGATGAAACACTTTCTAGGAAACCATGAAACTTTATGCTTTGGATTGGCATTTCAATTTCATAAGTGAAAAACAAAAAGTTCATGGTAATTAATTAACAACATGTTGGTCCAAGCAAAGTAATCCTTAATACCCTAAGAAAATCGGTACCTTGATATGTTTCTCGTTAAGGTCTTTGGAGACCGATGCCTTTCCATTCATGTTTTCCTTTCTCCCTTCTTCAAGTCCTTGGGGTGCCTTCTTCTCTTCTGGTTTTAGGTATTGATGTGTCAAAAAGTTATTTTTGCACAAATGTGTAAGTTTGGGTGGAAAATCAATGGTTTAAACCACAAAGGAGACATTTAAAGGAGTGTAGAAGATGTAATTTTCTCTCCAAAGGAAATGAGAGAGAATTTCGTCCAGGCCTAAAGGAGAAAAAAAGAAAGAAGATGTGGGTTAATTTTCTGTTTATAAATGAAAAAGTAAATAATAATAACATTAATTTCAAGGTGTCCCTTACATGTCGGAGGGGCGAGGCAAATTATTTGTCCCGAATTTATGGTTTAACCAGCGTTTGAGTTCTCTTTCTATTGGATCGAGAGGAGCAACAGCCCAAGGCATCTGCGGCCCAACCCAAGTCAAATTATGCATCTCCTTGTACGACAAGTATATCTTTCTCTACTTGTGTAAACCTAGGGAAAGTAGGACAGCAGATATATATATATCTCCTGTAGGCCATTCGGCCATTGTAACAGACTGCAGTCAATAATAATATCAAAGCCGGAGAGGCTGATCTCTCCCGTGGATTAGTCCTGACAAATCGTCAGGGATACCACGTAAAAATCTTCGTGTCGCATTTAGTTTGTTCTCGATTTTACATGGTATCAGAGCATAGGTCTGGGAAATTCTGATTTCGTTCCTGATTTTGGTGTTCGCTCATCATGAGTGACGAGGAGACAGCAAAGAAATCGCAGAGCTCCAACTCTAAGGGCGAGTTCTCGATGAACCATGGTTTCGATGTATCCTCAGAATATTTCTTGCATCCGCCAGATATCAATGGTCAACTGCCAGTTTTGGAAGTTCTTACTCCGTCAAATTATGGCGAGTTGGTCATCGATGTAATGGATGCACTCATAGTTAAAAACAAGTTCGGTTTTGTTGACGGTAGTCTTCCGCGTCCTATGGCCGATCATGAGTTGAAGGCGTGGAATCGCTGCGATGCTGTGGTCAAAGGTTGGCCTCACATATCTATGGATAAAGAAGTACGGAGCAGTGTTCGCTATGCGAAAACAGCAAGAGAGGTGTGGATTGATTTGAAGCAACGCTTTGGTCAAGGTAGCCTTACTCGGGGCTATGAACTTCGGCGCATGCTTAGTGGTTTGTGGCAGGAGAAACTCTCGGTTTCTACCTTTTATACTAGGCTGCTCACAATATGGGAAGAAGCACAGTCGATGGCACCTCCAGAAAAGTGCACCTGCGGAAACTGCACGTGTGACATGGAAGGAAGAATTCGATCCAAGGATGAGACTTCTCGTCTACTTGATTTTCTTATGGGACTCGACGAGAGCTTTGGCACAGTTCGAAGCCAGATATTGACCATGCAGCCGTCGCCGAGTTTGAGTGAGGCATATGCCATAGTGTCTACAGACGAGCAACAACGCCTCCTCACACAGAAGCGCCGACCTTCACCTGAAGCAGCTGCCTTCGCAGCCAAAAATTTTAATGGTCGTGGAGATCGATCGGACAAAGGAGATCGATCGAATAAGGGCGATCAGACAGACAGGCCATCTTGGCCGAAGACCAATGATGGCAAGCCTCTATGTCTACATTGTGGAAAATCGGGTCATTTTAAGGCAACCTGCTATGAGATTATCGGCTATCTCAGCCTCAATGGGAGTGACAAACTGACAAGGGTGAATGGAGGCGACGAACGCAAGATGAGCGACCACCTAAGGCAGCAGCAGCTGAAACAGAAGTCAGCCCGGTTTCTGGTTTCACTATGACGCAGCTCGAGCAGCTGCGAAAGTTCTTTGGATCATCTAAACCTATGGATGATCCCGCAGCTCACATGGCAGGTACGTTTCTTGGTAGTTGTGAATGGTTAATTGATTTTGGTTGCAATGAGAATATCGCTCAAGATGAATCAATGTTTAGTAAGAGAATTTCCACAGAACAGAGTCAACCTGTGAAAATTGCAAATGGGGATTGCATTCCGGTAAGGAGTATTGGTTCCATGAATTTGAATTCTGAGATCAAGCTAGAGCGAGTGCTTCATGTTCCTGACTTCAAGTGCAATTTGTTATCCGTCAGCAGGCTAACAAAGGATAACAATGTTGTGATTATTTTTCTCCGTGATATGTGCATTCTTCAGGACTTACAATCCAAGAACGTGATTAGGAGGGGGATTCTCCGTGATGGGCTTTATTTCTTGAAGATGTTCGATGACCAGGAATGGTTAGCTCTTACTGCAGATAGACGACATAAACTTCCAGAGGAGGTTTGGCATTCGCGTTTGGGTCATTTGTCGCCCGGAAAGCTTTCCCAGCTTGATTCAGTCATTTCTTATTCGTCAGTCAAGAACAGAGTACCATGTCATTCTTGTTTTCGTGCTAAGCAGAGTCGGAACCCTTTTCCGCTTAGCTCTATTAAAACATCGTGTTGTTTGAGTTAATTCATGTAGACATATGGGGTGGCAATCAAATGGCTTCCACCAGTGGAGCTCATTATTTCTTGACCATAGTTGACGATTTCATTCGTGGCGTTTGGGTGTATCTTCTGAAATTCAAATCTGAGGTTGCTCGCTACATGACTATGTTTTGTGAAATGGTTCGAACACAGTTTAATCTGCAGGTTCGTCGTATACAGGCGGATAATGGATTGGAATTCATCACTGCGCCACTCCGGGATTATTATGAGAAGTCTGGTATTGTGTTGCAGACTAGTTGCCCCAACAGAATGGAGTCGTTGAGCGTAAACATCATCACATCCTGGAGACAGCTCGTGCATTACGTTTTCATGCAGGTCTTCCGGTTCGTTTTTGGGGCGAATGTGTTTTTACTGCAGTTTATTTGATAAATAGAACTCCTACATCAGCCACAGGGTAAACCCCGTATGAGATTTTGTTTGGCAAACCAGCGGCCTACTCACATCTTCGAGTGTTTGCCTGTCTTGTATATGCCAAGGATACGCATGGAGGTCTTCATAAATTTGCTGAACGGGGGCGAGCTGGTGTGTTTCTAGGTTACGCGGCTACGCAAAAGGGCTATCAATTCTATGACTTAAAGACTCGTAAAATTCTTGTGTCTCGAGATGTTTTTTTTCATGAGGATTATTTCCTGTTTCATGCACAGGATCCACGAGAATTTCATTGGCTGCCCTCCTATGTGGTCATGGAACTAGGGGCTGATCATGATAGCCCATCGAGTAGCTCGCATACTCCTCTTGACCAGCAGCCTTCGCAGGACTTGGAAGTGACTCCAGCAACTACCCATTCCTCAACAGATGGTGGCGTTCCGCCTGGAGGCAGCTCCCAGTCCATGTCACCTTCTCCTTCGGTCACTCCAGCGCCTCCTGCCGCACCTGAGTTGCGTTGCAGTCTAAGGAAGCGCCATCCTCCTAAGCACCTTGATGCTTATGAAACTGATCTCACATCTGCGTCACATGTTCGCTATCCTATCTCACATCATGTGTCCTATGAGCTAGTTACTCCAGCTTATCAAGCTTTCCTTGCATCTGTTGATCGGATTCCAGAACCGCGCACTTTCAAGGAAGCTATTCGTCATGCGCATTGGAGAGAGGCCATGGCTAAAGAAATTGATGTGCTTATGGCTAATGGCACGTGGCGTTTGGAACATCTTCCTGCCGGTAAGTGATGTATCGATTCAAAGTGGGTTTTTAAGGTGAAGTACTATCCTGATGGGATTGTCGAACGGTACAAGGCTTGACTAGTTGCTAAAGGATATACGCAAATTGAAGGAGTGGATTTTCATGATACATTTGCACCTGTAGCCAAACTGGCCACGGTTCGTTGTCTTTTGGCTTTTGCGATCAGTCAGGGATGGTTCTTACATCAGCTCGATGTCAACAATGCGTTTCTTCATGGGGATTTATCTGAGGAAGTTTACATGAAGGTACCTCCCGGTTTTGGCGTTGAAGGTGATTCCCGGGTTTGCCGATTGCAAAAATCTATTTATGGGTTGCGTCAGGCATCTAGAAATTGGTATCAAAAGTTTACTATTTCTCTAGGTGATCTTGGTTTTCGGGCTTCAGCTGCTGACCATTCTCTCTTCATTTACAAGAAAGGATCTACGTTCGTCGCAACACTCATTTATGTTGATGATGTTATCCTGGCAGGTAACGACATGGATTTTATTAATCATGTGAAGAAGTTCCTAGATGAGAAATTCAGTATTAAGGATCTTGGGGTCCTTCGTTACTTTCTCGGACTTGAGGTTGCTCGTGCTCCTCAACGACTTGTTATCAGTCAGAGAAAATATGTTATGGATATTCTCACCGAGGCTAGAGTGCTCGGTTCTCGCCCCAGCGCTTTTCCGGTTGAGCAAAATCATCAGTTTACCAGGCCATCGACGGATTCACTTGTCGACGGGTCTTCTTATCGTCATCTGGTTGGGCGACTCCTGTATCTTATGGTGTCTCGCCCGGATATTGCATATGGCGTCAACATTTTGAGCCGGTTTGTTCATGCACCTACACAGGCGCATATGGATGCTGCTATGCGCATCTTGCGATATCTCAAGACTTCTCCGGGTCAGGGCCTCTACTTTCCTGCGAATAATTCGCTTGAGTTAGTGGCACACTGTGATGCCGACTGGGGTGGTTGCCAATCCACCCCGTCGTTCTACTACAGGTTTCTATATTTCCCTTGGTTCGGTGCCGGTTTCCTGGCGTACCAAGCGTCAGAAAGTTGTTGCTCGCTCTTCTGCAGAAACTGAATATCGTGCCATGGCTAGCACAGTTAGTGAGCTTCTTTGGCTTCGCTGGTTGCTCCATGAGTTAGGCGTTCCCCAGTATCGCCCTACTCGCCTTTATTGTGACAATCAAGCAGCCTTCATATTGCTGCTAATCCTGTGTTCCACGAGCGCACCAAGCATGTTGAGATGGATTGCTACTTTGTTCGAGAGAGTTTTGTTTCTAGTGATATACTTCCTCTCAAGGTCAGCTCGCAGAACCAGGTGGCGGACCTCTTTACCAAGGGTCTTGGCGCGGATCGTTTTCGTTATTTTCTCTCCAAGCTGAACGTTCGTGATCTCCACCGTCCAGCTTGCGGGGGCGTATTGGATCAAGAGAAGCAGCAGCCCAAGGCATCTGCGGCCCAACCCAAGTCAAATTGTGCATCTCCTTGTACGACAAGTATACCTTTCTCTACTTTTGTAAACCTAGGGAAAGTAGGACAGCAGATATATATCTCTCATGTAGGCCATTCGGCCATTGTAACAGACTGCAGTCAATAATAATATCAAATCCGGAGAGGCTGATCTCTCCCGTGGATTACTCCTGACAAATCGTCAGGGATACCACGTAAAAATCCTCGTGTCGCGTTTAGTTTGTTCTCAATTTTACACTTTCTTATAAGGTAAAACCCGGCTATAACAAAAAAAAAATCACTTTATGGTGTGAATTGTGGAGGTAATGAAACAATTTACAACTTTGATACGGCTAAATTGAAATTGAACTCGAGTTTTGAATGAGCATATAACCTACCATGGCGGAACACAACAGGAGGGGAGGATATATGGAATAATACACAGTGATCAGACACTAGTCATTCATGAATGACTAACATAATATCCAGTCTACATACTATTAGATTATCATCTTGTTTATTCCACCACGTAAACTAGGATCCCAACATGATCTTGTGATCGGTGTGTCCCATTTCTAAAATCTAGCTACGAAAATCTAATGAATTTTGAGTCATAGCATTGCAATCCCCCATAATGAGAGCTAGTTCAGTAGAAACTTTGCACTTTGACAAATCATCATACATCATTTGTCTATCTTTAACTTTATTTAATTAGAGCATTATATAGCTGTGATGACACAACTTGCATTCCTCAAATTTATCTAAAAATAATCAAGTTATTAATGACTGGACGAAACCAAGAAATAACCCCTCACGTGCGAAATTATAGAAGATCCCCTTTAAGATCAAACAATTCGATCGAATTGAGTATGATTGTATGTGTGATAGCATCTACTATACCAGGAATATCAATGAACCCGATTATTGATATTGCTCAAGATACCCTTTTTTAGCTTCTAGAATCTATTTCTTAGTTCAAGATCCCTCTTAACTAAGTTATGTAAAGATATCAAATTTCTATTATTTTAGTTAGAAAATGGAACTTGCAGCAATTTATTGTGGTACAATTTGCACCAACAACCTTTTTTCCTACTCTTTTACCATCGATCTAGTTTCTTTGCACTCTTGCCTACAAACACTACTATCAAATCAACTTGACTAAAAAAGCACACAATAGTAAGAGACCCAAAAATAACTGGAAAGTTGTCTCTAAGAAGCTAGCTATTTGGAGCATGACCTGCGGAATTATGTGCTGGTAATCAAACTTTTAATTAATAAATTATTCACTCACTATAAAGAATCTCTTGCAACCATATTCAAATGTACATGACTGAAGATATAGCTAAATTAGATATCTAAACTACAACCCAAAACTCGTAGCTACGAACAGTCCTACGATCACCTGACTAGCGGCGTAACAAAGCCTGACGAAGTACCCTTGACAATCGTACATTCGTCAAGGGTACTTCGTTAGTAGGGTTATTGTTGCTCTTGCACGGCCCTTCGAACACTATGTTTCAGAGGTGAAACTTTCCATAGGGCACATACACAACAGATGGGCGCGGGTCGCTGCATGCTTTCTTCTATGCTTCTGAAAATGCTCTCGTGGAGTCCGTTTTTGGGTCCGCCCTAGCACCGTAGCTCGTCACGCTATACACCGACGGCCGCGAGGCTGAGACTGACGATGCCACAGCAAGGAAGAAGACAGCGGTGACAAAGAGGGACGAGAACTTCACCTAACAGATTGAAAAATCCTTTTCAATTGCAACGGTCATTTCCCAGTGCGTCGACTTTTTGATCAGTTCAGAAGACGACCGCTTTGCTCTGTGTTTTGGAGACTTGAAGATGCAATGGAACGCCACCGTTTCATATTTCCGTTTCTGTACTCTTTTTCCTTTCGTTGCAAGGATCCTTGTATCCTTTCCAAGCTACAAAACAATGGTTGTAATGGAGCTTGTCTTCACTTGTTGGTTCAGCCTATAAGAGGCAGAATGATGAAATGAAAACAAAAGTTTTAGGGTTGCATTCTCTTTCTCTTTTACTTTTTTGTTATGGTGTCAGAGCCTCTAATGGAACCCTAGCCGCCACACTTCTTCTTCCTTAACAATGGCTGACAATCAAGCTAATCATCCACAGGCTGAGCCTCAAAATGCACAGCCTGCTCCACCACAACCAAAAATTCCTAACGATCTTTTGTCCGACCCTTTCTTTCTCCATGGTTCAGACCAACCTGGAACTCTCCTTGTTGGCGACCTTCTCACCCCAACAAATTACAATGACCGGAGCAGAGCCATGCTTAATGCTCTTGCTTCCAAAAACAAGACTGGTTTCATTAATGGTACAATACCAGAACCAGCAGCTACAGATCCGCGTCATGGATCCTGGACAAGAAACAGTGTTATGGTTCTTAGTTGGCTTCAACAAGCCACTTCTTCTGAGATCAGGAAAACCATTCTTTCCAGCAAGACAGCTTCTGAAGCATGGCAAAGTCTACAGACTCGTTATGGCTCAGAAGATCTCATTCGCATTGCTGAGCTTGAAGAATCTTTATCCACCCTGCAACAAGGTAACCAAACAGTGACAAGAGTATTATGGTCATGTAATTAATCTTAGGGATGAACTAGAGAATTATCAATCTCTCTTACCATGTTCCTGCACCCCCACTAGTCATAATGATTGTGCTGCCATGATAAGGGTTTCACAATATCAAGAGACTAGTTATGTTATCAAATTCCTTCGTGGTTTAAATGAGAACTTCTCTAGGGTCAGAGCCCAAGTTCTGTTTGGTGATGAACTACCCAACATCAACAGAGTCTTTCAACGTATGCTGCAGCATGAAAGACAGATATATGGTACTCAATATGGTAAAATGATTGCTTCCATGCATACTGAACCATCAGTTCTCAGTTTTCAACCTAGGAACAGAAGGACTTCTAAGAACAAAAAAACCCCATACTCCACCTTTTGTAGAAGAGAAGGCCATACTGAAGATATCTTCTTTCAGAAACATGGATGGCTTCCTAGCATGTCCAAACCATCAACTCCCAACTCTAGTCTTACAATCACTTGCAATCACTGCAAAAGGAAAGGACACTCTGAGGATAAATGCTTCCATAAACCTGGCTATCCTTCTAATTTTGTTCCTCGAAATCCTTCTTCTGCTCCTCCCATAGCCAGATCTGTAGTGAATTTGTCTGCTGCTTCTTCTCCCAGTGATGAAGTTAAACTCACTCGTTCAGACTATGACAAGTTAATGAACATGGTGAATGATCAAAGAGGTTCCACTTCCTTCTCTGCAGCTGCTTATGTCACTCAGAAAGGTATTCTTCCTACCCCACCTCCTTCTCTGCCTATACTGAATGCATATTCATCGATTTAGCCCAAATGGATAGTTGACACAGGAGCTTCAGATCATATAGTCTGCTCCTTGGATTATCTTCACAATCCAAAACCCTTATCCCACATATTCATCACCCTCCCTACTGGAGAACATACTCAAACTACACATTCAGGCACAACAATCTGCAGCGAAGATTTGGTTCTTTATGATGCCTTGTTTGTTCCCCATTTCACCTTTAACCTGGTTTCAGTTAGCAGACTGACCTCTCATAACTCCTTATGCTTAACCTTTCATTCAAACACTTGTCTTATACAGGATCTGAAGCAGACGAGAGTGATTGGTTCTGCTAGTCTCAAAAATGGTCTTTACTATCTTCAAGCTTCTCTTTCTCCAAAGTTGGTTTCTGCCGCATCCACCACCACCTTTGACCTATGGCATTTTAGATTAGGACATGCTTCTCATTCTAAAATTCCATTTCTCAATCAATTCAGTACCTCCATCATAACATACAAGGATCAACCCTGTGATGTATGTCATTTTGCTAAGCAAAAAAGACTTTAATTTCCTTCCAGTCATTCTATAACTAAATTTCCTTTTGAACTTCTCCATGTTGAAATTTGGGGACCAAATCCAGTCCCCACATATGATGGTTTCAAATACTTCTTAACTGTTGTTGATGATTTCTCTCGCATGACTTGGATCATTCTGTTACATCTTAAGTCAGAAGCCAGCACAAAACTCATTTCCTTCTGCAACCAAATGGAAAGACACTTTCAAACCAAAATCAAAACCATTAGGAGTGACCAGGGAAAATAATTCCAAATGGATGAATTTTTCAATTCCACAAGCATTATTCATGAAATGTCCTGTGTAGAAACACCTCAACAAAACAGCAAGGTTGAAAGAAAATATCAACACATCCCTGTTGTTGCAGGGGCCCTCCAATTCCAAGCACCCTTACCAAATACCTTCTGGTGAGATTGTGTAAAACATTTTGTTTATCTCATAAATAGGGTCCCTTCATTTGTTCTTTCCAACAAAACACCATTCTAGCTCTTACACAACAAACCACCAGAACTGACAGACTTAAAGGTCTTTGGCTCTCTCTGCTATGCCAGCACTCTTGCCAACCATAGAAGAAAAAAAATTGAACCCATTGTCAGGAAAGCCATTTTCATTGGATATCCTTCTGACATCAAGGGATACAAACTTTCTGATCTAAACTCTCATGAAGTTTTCATTTCCAGGGATGTCATCTTCTATGAATCTCACTTCCCATATCATTCCCTCTCGCCAGAACTAACTACACCAGACCAGAGTTCACAAGGCAGTTCATTTCTTTTTCCCCTTCCTTTTTCAGGTCCCCATCTTGTTCATGAGGATCCACCTCAACCTCCTCCTGCTTCACAAACCCCTTCTATCCCTCCTTCTCCTCCATCCCCTACTTTTCCACTAGCTTCTCCTTCCTCTCCTGCCACTTCACCTTCTTCTATTTCAGCTACACCACAACCTCCTCCACCTCCACCTCAAGTTCTCAGGCGTTTTGATAGAACAATCAAACAACCTCCTCATCTCATCCAAAACTATCATTGCTACCTCTCCAAAGGACCTGGCAGCATCAATCACTCAAGTCAACAACAGATCCAAGACTCAAGGTACTCAATTTCATCTCTCCTTTCATATGAAAAGCTTTCTGCTCCCCATAAAAAATTCCTTCTCAATATTTCCAGTCATAGAGAACCTCAAACATATCAAGAGGCTTCCAAAATTGATAACTGGAATGAAGCAATGCAGCTTGAAATCCAAGCTCTCTTGAAGAACCACACATGGGATGTTATCTCTTTACCAAAAGGAAAGAAACCAGTGAGTAACAAGTGGATATACAAGGATAAATTCCTACTCTTCCACTAGCTTCTCCTTCCTCTCCTGCCACTTCACCTTCTTCTAGTTCAGCTACACCACAACCTCCTCCACCTCCAGTTCTCAGGCATTCTGATTGAACAATCAAACGACCTCCTCATCTCATCCAAAACTATCATTGCTACCTCTCCAAAGGACCTGGCAGCATCAATCACTCAAGCCAGCAACAGATCCAAGACTCAAGGTACTCACTTCCATCTCTCCTTTCATATGAAAAGCTTTCTGCTCCCCAAAAAAAATTCCTTCTCAATATTTCCAGTCTTAGAGAACCTCAAACATATCAAGAGGCTTCCAAACTTTATAACTGGAATGAAGCAATGCAGCTTGAAATCAAAGCTCTCTTGAAGAACCACGCCTGGGATGTTGTCTTGTCTCTTTACCAAAAGGAAAGAAACCAGTGAGTAACAAGTGGATATACAAGGATAAATTCCTTTATGATGGATCTTTAGAAAGGCACAAAGCCAGACTTGTTGACAAAGGCAACACTCAACAAGAAGGTGTTGACTTCCAGGACACTTTTGCACCAGTCAACAAGATGACAACAGTTTGGACATTTCTTGCAATTGCAGCTATGAGAAACTGGCATATTTACCAACTAGATGTGAATAATGTCTTTCTCCATGGAGACCTCGAAGAAGAGGTCTACATGAACCTTCCAAAAGGTTACAACCCACCACCTGGCATTGAAAATCC